GTCCTTCCCTTCCTCCCTGCTTCCTTCCTTCCTTCCTTCCTTCCTTCCTTCCTTCCTTCCTTCCTTCCTTCCTTCCTTCCCTCCCTCCCTTCTTCCTTCCTTCCTTCCTTCCTTCCTTCCTTCCTTCCTTCGTTTTCTTCTGCCTTCCTCCTCCTCTTTCTCTGTTCAACTGACAACCATTGATCACTTGCACAATACCTCTCACCGGATTATTTAATAAATACTTGCTTAATTGGCTGCATTTTATAGTATAATTGGATGGCCCTGGCCCGTTGGTGTCACCATGATGAATCGGACCCCAGACGGCCCCTCCCTCAGGAGGCCCACAGTCTAGATCTTCTGCCTTCCTCCTCCTCTTTCTCTGTTCAACTGACAACCATTGATCACTTGCACAATACCTCTCACCGGATTATTTAATAAATACTTGCTTAATTGGCTGCATTTTATAGTATAATTGGATGGCCCTGGCCCGTTGGTGTCACCATGATGAATCGGACCCCAGACGGCCCCTCCCTCAGGAGGCCCACAGTCTAGAAGGAGCGATAAGATGGAGGACTTGCACACAGACATGAATGTGACGGGGCCGACCTCGGAGGACTGTGCTTCAGACGCGTCTTCCTGCCTGGGCCCTTTCCTCTCCACTCCCCTAACGCTACTCTTTGAAAACCAGCTGACTTTATAAGCACAGCTGGCTGTCACTGAACACACACAGGAACTAAGACAAAAGAAAACGCGTATGTAATGGATTGAATGGATGTGTAGTTTTACCTATTTTTTAGAATTTGTACCCCTATCTTCTTCTGGAAAGGTATGAGAGAATTTTTAAGTTAAACGGAACATACCTTGGGACAATTAGTGATAGATGCGCACATATTTATAGAGTATACACATATATTGTACATTGCATATATATTTATATATACATAAATTGTTATTCCAGAGAGCTGAGAGAATGAGAGAGAGAGAGAGAAAGAGAGACTGAGACAGGGAGACAGAAACAACACTCACCAGGTATATGAGTGGTGAGCGGTGTGGTCTGACATGCTAAAATTGGGCTCTGAAATTGCCTGGCAGCTATGGCAAAAGGCAGACCACACTGCATGGCCAAATTAAGCACTGGACCTCCTTGGCCAGTCAAATGCCAGGAACAGATTTTATCCTGCGGTCCCATGGCAATGACGAAGTGGATAGTACTAGGAGCAGCCACCACCTCACTAAGCAGATGTTTCCTTTGGGCCTTAGCTGTCCCTCTCACCTCAAAGGGCAATGCCCCCCGATGTTCTGCCGTCACCTCCACATGACCCACCCAGGCTGCCAGCTCCCCAAAACAGTACCTCCCACCCACTTGTCCATTCGTCAGAGGCCTGTCACCCAGACCCACAATCTTGGTAGACTGCGCCTCAGTTTCCCCTAATTGTCCTCCATTACTATGTCCTGGAGTTTTGCTTTTCCGTTGTGTGGACCACCTTAACGGTCTCCTTCGATCCTCGCCTTTGGTCTGAACCCATTCTAATCCACCCACCAATCGCGGGATATCGTTTTCATCATGTCAGCCTCCACCTCCAGAATTGCCCAGGGGGCCCACTGCCTCTAGCTGTTGTCCAAGTTCCTTGGTGTGGCCTGCCCTGCCCATCCAGTCCTATTGTTCCAGCCTTTGTGTGGCCTCCTTTCCTTCTCTGCCTCCTCCCCTCATTGCCATAAGCCATGTCTTCCCATTCTTCCAAACCCTGCTGACGACTGACTCCCCAGCCTTCTCCCCAGGGCGGCCCTGCTCCCGCTTATGTGAGATCTATGGCATCTGCCTGCATTGGCACTGGGCTTTGCCTCCTGATGGCCTTGCTCCTGTCAGACCAGTTGGTCTCGGGAGACGAAGCTCAGTTTGTTGCTTCCTTTCCTAGCCCCCGTGGTGCTGAGGCAGTTCCGAACCTGCCTGCACGCTGGAATATCTTGAGGGGCTTGAAGCAAAATGCTCTGGAGCCCTCCTTGAGCCAAATCACACCCAACAGGTGGGGTGCAGAGCTCCCCAGGAGATTCTATTTGCAGCCTGGGCTGAGGTCCACTGGCTTAGAAGTAATGACGTTTATTGAGTGGCTACCATGTACCTGCTGATATCGGCTCCCAGGCTTAATTCTTACACCCTGTGGTAGATATTCAAAGCCCCTTCTGCTCTCAAAGAAGGCGGGTCTTGCCTGCAGGATTGTTTCTGCCCAGGGCAGGGCGTGGCTGAATGTAGGGTATTAAGCGAGGCTTCATGGGAGGAGCCGGTGGAAAGGCAGAAAACAGTTTTCTATGTGGATCTTAAGGAGTAGGAGGCTGCTCCTGGGATGAGGTGTGACACAGAAGTGCACCAAAAGATGGGAGCAGAAGGGAGGGAGAGGAGGAGGCTGACGGGGGTGGGGGTGGGGGTGGGGAGGTCAAGCAGAGTTGTTCCCACAAGGCAAAAATGCATTGGTTCGGTGAGTCCCTGGGACTCAGATTTGTGTTGCTTTTCTATCGAGCGGCATCTCTGAAGAAGTGTCCCGGTGCTTGCTACGTGTCCACTCGGGAAGAATTTGAGGGAGAATGAATGGTAGGAAGGACCCCAGTCACCTCCCAGACCCCAAACTGCATTTAAGGGCTCAGTCACTGAGGCTCTCCCCACAGAGCTCCAAGGGGTTCCGAGTGGGAAGGAAGGGCAGAGGTCCCCATGAGTCTCACCAGGAAGTCGTGAAGGGGCAGAATGACCCTCTCACGCATGCCCGCACCGCAGAGCCCTCATTGCCTTCTGGCTGTCCTAGGCAGCTGCAGGTAGGACAGTCTGGGCCCCACCCAAAAGCCCACAGTTTCTCTGGAGTCCTGATGCATCTGGGGAGCCCATTTTTGAGGGTGCCTCTTAGGACCTGGGGCATGCTGGAAAGCCCCTTCGCGGGACCAAGGTTGGGGGCAAGGTTCGGGTATCCCTCAGTTTCCTTCCACAAATCAGGCCAGAGTCTGTGATGCGTCTTGGCCTTGTCACCAGTTCTGTCCCTAGATATCTCCCTGGAGGCAGTGCTTTTCCCTTCCCTCTACCTCCATCCTTGGAGCCACGTGAAGAGGTGGCAAATAAGGTAGGATCTGATTTCCCGTGCAAACCCACCGTGAAATATTTATGAAGCATGCCTTGAATAATTAATACTTTTGCACGACTTTAAAACAGGTCTCCACAGCATTTTCTCTCCGACCTCAACACACACACACACACACCAGCCAACGCCGATAGGAGTTTCAGGGCAAAGCTAGCAAGGGTTACAGGCTTCTACGCCTTCTAAGACCCCTCCCCACGGCTGCCAGGGAACCTGTTCTCCTTTCCCGTTGCCCTCTGTCCCGGCCTATGTTAACGTTCCTGGTTTTAACTAAATCCCTGAGCACCCCCAGTCCCTGCCTCAGTACGCACGCGGGCGCGCACACACACGCGCACACACACACACCCCTTTCCCTTTTCTCTCTGGGGAGGTCAGTAGGACTCAAGTCTGAGAGCGCCCCCTTTACAGACAGTGGCGGCAAAGACACCACTTGTGGGAGGAGACACCACTTACAGAACGTTAGGTGGCTTTGAGAGACCCACTTTCTGACCCGGCTCCCTGATTTTGTGATCAGAGAGGTTAAGTGACTTGTCCCGAGGCACACAGCGTGACCCAGGCAGAGCTGAGAAAGAAAGGCTCTTCCTCACCTCACCTCATACCGTCTGGGTCTCAGGCTGAGCCAGTCGCACAGCCAGAATAAGGCTGGGTGTCCAGGCTGCCAGGCCCAGGATCTGCAGGGACCCGTGGGCTGCGACACCGGGCGCAGCAGTGGGCGTGTGTCCCCCGCATCCCCCGCCCCGCGCATGTGCCCTGCGCGGAATGGGGCACGCGCATGCCAGGCCGCAGGCTGCAGGCTTCTCTTCTCAGGTGTCATCGATCAGGCCTCTCGGTGGGGATGCTGCCTACTGGCTCTGAGGAGGAGCCGAGTGGGTTCAACTTTCAGTGCAGAATTCTTGGAGGGGGTAGGGAGTGGGGATGGGAGAGGGAGAAATCTTCATTTAAATGCAGATACAGACTTCTCACTTGGGACTGCAGAAAGTTTTTTCCATTAAAATGCTAATGAAAGAATGCCCTGCAACTCCAAATCCTCACCCCCACCACCCTTCGCTTTCCCCAATGACTCCTCACTCAATCCACTGACCCTTCTTTGCTTCTCCTGGATTTCCCTGGGGCACTCACGTCCCACCGCTCTGGCCCCTGGGTGCTTTGGGCAGCTCTCTGAGAGGCCATTGGAAGGAGCAGATCACCTTCCGAAATCAAATGACACTGGAAACTGGAGAGGGGCTCAAAAGCCAGAGCCCTAGAGTCAGATCTCAGTCCTGTGTCACTTTTCTGCTGTGTGACGTTGGAACCCTTACTTGACGTCTCTGAGTCTCGTCTGTAAGATAATACCTACCTTGTAAAATTGAAGAGGCAGTTAAATTACTTATATATATTCATTATATATTAAATTATTAACATATATGAAAATTTATAGCCTGCCACTTAAAAAGTCAGTACATAGCAGTACATTATCATCATCATCATCATCATCAAGATGCAAACTCCCAGGGGGCAGAATGGTGCCAATCCACACAAGCGTAAGAAAACGGGCTGGCTCTCTGGGAGGCCACCATTAATAAGGATTCCAGAAGTTGGCACCGGTGCTGCCTCAGGCCCGCCCAGAAGCCCGCTCAGCCCGTCAGGGTTGTGTCAGGCCAGATCCTTTCCTGCACAGACGCTGACTCTCTCGGACCTGAAGCCCAGCCGGGGACCCATGTCCGGAGGCACCCAGGTGACCATTACGGGCACCAACCTGAACGCGGGCAGCAATGTGGTGGTGATGTTCGGGAAGCAGCCCTGCCTCTTCCACAGGTAACTCACCACAGGGCAGGCTGCAGCATGGGGCGGGACCAGGTAGGCATCAGGCCCTCCCCCACCGCCCCCAGCCCTCCTCACCTCTGGAAGTGCTTCCTCTTCCCTGGAAAGTGGCTGTTCTCTTTGGGAGAGGGCCTTCTGGGCACGCCTGGCTACGGAGGTTTGGCTCAGCCTGGAGAGACCCTTCCTGACGGGGCCCTCGTACTGCTGCCTACCATTTCGCCTTGGTGCCCTGTACCGCCCTCTGTGCAGAGCCCCGGAGTCCCATGGGACGTAGTTGGGAATCTAGATCCTCTTCCTGGGCTGCTGCAGTCAGCTGGGACTGCCCGGAGCTGGTGGGGACAACAGCCCCAGCTAGCTAAGACTGACTCTCCAAAGGCAGCCGAACTTTCTCTCCCCGGGTTCCACTATCCAACCCCAGAAGGGCCTGCCTTCCAGGAGCCGAGAGCCTGGGGGACAGGAAGAAGCTGGGAGGTGCGTCTAGTAAAGGATTCTAGATGTGGCAGGAGACATGAGGTTCTGTGGAAGGAGGTTTTCCCAGGGGGGAGGCACGCTGAGCGCTGTGACAGATCTGAAGTCAGACCAGGCCAGGCCTTGCATTAGTAATGTTAAAGAAAAACTTATTGTGACACTTGTGAACATGGGAAAAAAGAATATATTCAGGACTGTTATAGTAGGTGTCACAATAGAGAAGAGAGCTAGGACTCAACTCCAAATACAGCAGACAGCTGGGGATTTGCACCCAGCAAACAGAGGGGTCACCGGGTAGAAAATGACTGAGAGGAAGTACTAAGGGTAGGGTGATCCTTACTAAACCAACTTAACGGGATTCTAGCTGAAGGCCGGCCAGGGTGGGGACATGATCACAGGTGGGGACAGTCTTGCTAAACTGATTTAACAGGATTATTGCTAAGAATGGGGCTAGGCAAGCCGAAGACAGGACCCAAGGATGAGGCCCAGGCTCAGAGAGGGCTTGGAGGAACTTGTCATTGTATCCGAGGCAGTGCCACCCCTGCCTCTGAGGTGCCCGCCGGGCAGGGATGCGGTGTGAGGGCCCTGAGCCAGGACCACCGTTTCCCCCTCGAGCCCCAGGAGCCCAGCTCCCTGCCTTCCCTCCCTTCAGGCGCTCTCCCTCCTACATCGTCTGCAACACCACATCCTCAGATGACGTGCTGGAGATGAAGGTGACGGTACAGGTGGACAGGGCCAAGATCCACCAGGACCTGTTCTTCCAGTACGTGGAGGACCCCACCATCGTGCGGATCGAGCCAGAGTGGAGCATCGTCAGGTAAGAGCTGCCCAATCTCACCTTCCTTCCTCAACTCTCAAAAGCCACGGAGAGCTCTGGGGGCCCAGTCCTGCTGTGGGGACTGATGGACTGGGGTTGGCCAAAAGCAACCCCTACATCAGAAGACCTTCCTGCCCTGGCTGCCCGCTTCCACTGAGAGCACCTCTGAGCAGGACCCGGCCCTGGAGGCCAAGCTCTGACCAGTCAGAGCCCACAGACTCTAATTTGAGGCTTAGTCATGTACTTGCAGGCCATGTTCCCATCTCACAGTGACTGTCCGGGGGAGGTGTCAGTCCCACTCCCCTAAACCTCACAGGTATGGGCAGTAACTCAAGTCCTGCTGAGGAACGTAGGAGAAAGAGTCAGATCAGATCCAACTTCTTGGCCTCCCGCTGCCCTTTGTCTTAGCGCCCGTGACCGCTAGTTGCCTACCCGCTTAGTCCTTCTGCAGACTCCTCCCCAGTGCCCGACACAAGTGCACGGAACACGTTTCCTATTTGGAGGGAGCCAGTGTGCTGATGCGGAAAGACCCTGCCACGCTGCTCCTGGGTCAGCCCTTCAAAAGCTGTGTTGGGTCGTTTGCATAATCTTCCAGGGTCTCCACCTCTTGAGCGATTCACTTGGGGCTTTGGAAACTCTGGATTCCTAGGGACCCCGTCCACACGGGCTTGGTAGGGCCTGAGGTGGAGGTGCCTCACCTCAGGGAAGGAGCTGCAGGCAGGCAGCACAAGTCTGCTTTTCCAGGCTGTGGCGAACATGGCGAAGGCACTGCAGAAGGCGTCCTGGCAGCGAAGCCTCTGGTGATAACGAGAAAACTGCCGCATCGCAGGCCGAGTAGGGAATGGAACGAAGGCTTGGAGTCAGAAGGAGCGGGCTCAGCCCGGCTCCACTGCTTACCAGCCACGTGATCTTAAAGGTTACTTAACCTCCCTGGGTCCAGGGTTTCCCATCAGTTAACTCCCTCTCAGGGCACTGAGAGAATTAAGGGAGGTGCCCACGCATAATGTCATGCTGGGTCAGCTCCCTCCTCCTCCCAGCCCCTGGATCCTCAGCCTTCCCACTGTCTGCTTCAGCTTGGGTCTGGGGTCAAGGGGAGGGGAGAGCATGAATATATGGTTTCCACAAGCTGAGGCCGGGGTCAGGGATGAGTTCAACCCAGGGAGCGACCTTTTAAACCAGGAGTCAGCAAACTCCAGCCTGGGGCCCAAATCTGGCTGTCGGCCTGCTTTTGTAAATAACGTGTTCCTGGAAGGCAGCCGCGCTCATTCGTATGTTTTACCTACAGCTGCTTTCCCACCTCGTCAGCAGAGCTGAGTGATGATGGCAGACCACATGGCCTAGGAAGCTTGAAATACTTATTCTCTGGCCCTTTATAGAGTTTGCTGCCCCTGGCCTTACACCCAAGGAAAGGCAGCCTTTCCTGGGGTGAGATTTGGTTGTCCTTAGTTACTCTCTAAGGCCCAAACCTCATAAGCTTTCACCATAATCCTAAAGCAGATGAAGAATATAAGGCACAGAGAGGGGAATAGCCTGTGAAAAAGCCGCCCCCAGAGCTGGGGAGTCCAGGAAGTTGGCAACTCCCCGAGAAATTCACAGCCTGGTTTAACTCCATTCTTCCTCACGTCACCATCACAGAAATGGAGGTGCCATCTTTCCTGGCGCTCAGCAGATGACCCCGAGTCGTGCACATATCAAGAGGGAAGCTGGAGACACACTCTGGGTCTGCCGGAGACTCCAGCATCTCAGTACAGTTAACAAAGCCTGCGGCGGGGTGGGATTCTGCACAATGCTTGCCTCTGTGCGGCTTACAGCAGCCTGGGCTACTAAGGAATAGCGGTGGGGAGGCATTTGATAAGTGTATGTCGAATTGATGATTGAGATCAGGAGACAGCCGGCCATCAGAAGCTCATTCTCGGGCTGGAGGGCCTCTTAGTTTCACAGGAGTCTTCCCGCGTGCATGTACGCCAGTGTGTATGTGCGTGTGTGCATGTGTGTGTGCGTGTGTCCATGTGAATATGTGTGTGTGTGCCTGAGAGGGGGCAGGTGGAGGCGAGAGGAAGGGAGGGAAGTAACTGAGTGTAAAGAAGGATGGATGGAAAGGGGTCTAAATGAATGTGGGTGTCCAGGATTCAGTGCCCACCAAGCTTGTAGCTACTGAACTGTTACGGAGAGCAGGATTCTTCTCGAAAATGCTCCCTTGGCTGTGGATAAGTAAGGAAGATGCCTCCTGACTTGCGCTGAGTCCCCAGGGTGGCAGCCCTCAGGCCCTGTCAGCTTTTCGGCTGCCCTGAAGTAGGACAATGACATTTACGTTTCCTTTGAAACGGGACACAAAGGTGGATCTCCTGATCCGTCCTTGTCAGCAGCCTCTGGCTGACACCCCAGGGTACCAGAGAGCTGGGTCCAGGAGCATTTCACATTTCCATCCTTAGAGTAGGAGGTGCCTGAGTGTCTGGGCCCCTGCCTTGCCCAGTCTCAGGGGACTGAAGTCTCTAAGGTGGAAATTTGTGGTAGGGTTGACTTGGAGCGAGGAGGCTGTGCTCAGACCCTGAAGGGTCTGGTGGGCAATGTGACTAAGGCCAGTGTGACAAATTTCCTGAGACTGGTGAGGGCTGGAGGCAGACACCAGGGGGCTGCACAGAAGCAGCTGGCTGGGATCAGGAGGCCTCGGGGCACCAAGAAGGCTGTGCTGCAGACCCGGCCTCCATGGGGTGTCCCCGCTCTGAAATAGCTCTGCACAAGATGGTCAGGGACATCTGGTCATCACTGTCTTCGCCTTGACTGCTGAGAGCCCATCCTTATTATTATTCAGTCAGCTTGTCATCATTGTCCCCACGAACACTGTCATGCCTCCCGGTTCTCGTTGTCTTTAATGTCAAGCTCAGCCTGATTGATTATCATCATCGTCATCGCCGAGTGCCATTGCTATTCCTGTCCTCATGTTTACACGCCTCCTTCTTTCTTCCTGGCCAGTGGGAACACACCCATCGCCGTGTGGGGGACTCACCTGGACCTCATACAGAACCCCCAGATCCGTGCCAAGCACGGAGGGAAGGAGCACATCAATGTGAGTCTGGACTTTCGGGGTCATGGGGGCTGCCCACTCAGCATGTTGCTTCCTCAAAGGGTGTGGGGCCCCCAAGTACTGAGGAAGGCCCTCCCCAAACAACGATGGCCCGTCTCGTGTGACACCCCGATCACTGGGATGGCAGGATAAGGAGTAGATGTGAGGGCATATTCACACCTCGAGGTACAGTCGTGGAGGGGCAATCACTTCTGGTGTGTCTGGGGGTTTTACACCCTTATTCCTCCATCCTTCCAACCCCCAGCCCTGCTCCTTAGCTTAGAGATGTCCTCATCACTGCTACACCCATCATGGGCAAAACGAAGCTTGGTGCCAGCTGCAGAGCTTACTTCTTGTTGCCCAGCTTATTTCTTATTGCCCTGGCTGCAAAGGACCTGTGACCTGTGCATAAATGTCCCATGTCAATACTGTGCCATATGGCAGTACCACAGGTGACCCAGTGGGTACAGTGGGGGGGCCTTGTATGTGCAGAGATACGCAGCATGGTCCTCCCTGTCTGCTCTCCCACAGCTCTGCGAGGTTCTGAACGCTACTGAGATGACCTGCCAGGCTCCGGCCCTCGCTCTGGGGCCTGACCACCAGTCTGACCTGACAGAGAGACCCGAGGAATTCGGCTTCATCCTAGACAATGTCCAGTCCCTGCTCATCCTCAACAAGACTAACTTCACCTACTATCCCAACCCTGTGTTTGAGGCCTTTGGGCCCTCAGGAATCCTGGAGCTCAAGCCCGGCACACCCATCATCCTGAAGGTAGACAGGCTAGCAGAACAAAAGGAGGCCACTGCATGGCAGGGGGCCTGTCTCTTCAAGGCACGGAAAGAGGCCAGAAGCCATGAGCTCCTGCTACATATCATGGCCGGAGTCCCTAGCAGAGGTTGCGTTATAGCCCAGAGTCTCTCTGAGTTTGTATTGACAGGCACACTCTCTTCACAGGCCACGGAAGTCTGACCCACCCTGGCCACCTGACTCCCAAGCTTGGTTTGTCCCCTGAGTCCGGGACCTGGCAGATCAAAGGCTCATACTGCTTCCTCTGATGCAGCCCTTTGCAAACTACACTATAGGGTTTCTTTGGAGCATAGATAGCAAATTTTAATTTTAACTGTTATGACAATTTGAATCACTGGTAGTGACTGACTATGGCTCTGTGTTGAGAAGGATTTGAAGCTGCATTTGGGATAAGCTCAAACAGTGCCTTGGTTATTAATTTTCCACCGAGGAAAGGGGAATGATAACGAATGTGCTATGAATTTTTTTGGACTTTTTACAGAAGGTGGTTTCTCCACCAGCTCACCAACAAGATGGGACCTCTGGGTGGGGGGATGTAGCCCCCAACCTGTGGCTCTGGCCCTGACTCTGGGGTGGAAACTGAGGTTTTCCTGTCCACCCAGGGCAAGAACCTGATCCCGCCCGTGGCTGGGGGCAATGTGAAGCTGAACTACACGGTGCTGGTCGGGGAGAAGCCGTGCACCGTGACGGTGTCGGATGTGCAGCTGCTCTGCGAGTCCCCCAACCTCATCGGGAGGCACAAAGTGATGGTGAGGCTGGCGGGACTCCAACCTGGATGGAGCAAGCAGAGGGGCCGCTGGGCGCAAGCTGTCCAGCTCCATCCTGAGCCACCGGGGCTTCCTGGGAGCGGGGCAGGGGCAGGGGGGGCGGGGAATCCTGGCCACTCCCTATTTCCTCCTAGCCACTCCCCATCCCTAGCTCCTTCTCCCTGTCTTACTTCCAGCTTCTGTTTTCTGTACCGTTATTCCTTCCATGCTGGCTGGTGCCACAATGAGGGCAACGCAGAACATTCAATGATCTGCCAAATCACCTATCGTAGGCAAGAGGACCTCCCAGGAAAGGGCCGCTGTTGACCTGGGGCGGTCTATAATGTCAGGTGCCTCCGTCATCCACCCTTAAAGTGGGATGACTCTTCGGAGAGCTACTCATTGATGACATGTCAGACTTTTCAGATCCCAGTCGTTGCAGTGTCCTCGTGAAGTTGACCACGTTAGTTTCTGAACGAGAGAACGTGTGGCTTTTCCACCTGTGGGGTGGCCCACGCTGAGCTGGCCAGACCTCCTCCCTCAGCCCTCTCATTGGCTTTTGTAACCGAGGATGGTCCTGCTCCCTGGAGCCATCGTCCTCTTCTGACCTCGGTCACCAGTTCATCGGTGACTTGGGGCTGTTCCCTAGGATGCTCTGTCCCCACACCCAGCTCCCTCTTGCCTGCTGTGTCCCCAGGCCCGTGTCGGTGGCATGGAGTACTCGCCGGGGATGGTGTACATCGCCCCGGATAGCCCACTCAGCCTGCCCGCCATCGTCAGCATTGCGGTGGCAGGCGGCCTCCTCATCATCTTCATCGTGGCCGTGCTCATCGCCTACAAACGCAAGTCCCGCGAAAGCGACCTCACCCTGAAGCGGCTGCAGATGCAAATGGACAACCTGGAGTCCCGCGTAGCCCTGGAGTGCAAGGAAGGTACTGAGTGGCCGGATGGCCACAGCCCCATGCCGGAAGCTGGGTGTGCATGTGCATGCATGTGCATGTATGTGCATGTGTGTGCATGCATGTGCATGCATGTGCGTGCGTATATGTGCGCGCATGTGAGTGTGTGCACATGCATGTGTGCATGTGTGTGCGTGCATGTGAGTGTGAGCACATGCATGTGTGTATGTGTGCATGTGTGTGTGCATGCGTGTGCATGTGTGCATGCATGTGCGTGTGTGTCTCACACACAAGCAGCACACTGGGCAGCAGTGAGCAGTGCTGGGGGCTGGGTGTCCATCTGCAGAACCTCTAACTCTGGTCAATGAGCCTGTGCCCAGACCAAACCTACATCCTTACGGGCCTCACTGGGGAGAGACCAAATAAGGCTAAGGCCTGCGGTCCCTCCTCCTCAAGATGCCCCCTGCCTTCTTTCCCCAAGTCAGACTGGGCTCATTTCAAATCCCACTAAGCCAGTTTTCAGCCCCAAATCTTGGCCGAGTAGGTGTTACGCTCCTCTCTCAGGGAGACCTTGGGGTGTCTTGACATGACACATTCAAGCAATGTTCAGCTCTCGTCCTTTAGGAGGAAGATAAGGCTGTAGGGCTGATCTGAGATTTGGAAGGAAAAGTTGTTTCACAGCTTCTATTTTTAAAAAAAAATTATCAACCCCACCATGAAGCGAAATCAGCTGCACTAAAATCCAAGAAGGAAATTAAGGAGTCAGACTCTTGTCACCCCCCAGGATATCATTTCATGAGTCACCCAGGAGGGCCGAGCTGGTTCTTTGCGGTAGATTTATGCATGGAGTAAATCTGGCCTGTACCTGGGGCTCTCCCACCCCCACCAGGGATGCCCCGACTCTCTCTGATGGGGAGGTGGGTCCGTTCCATCCCCTCTCTACCTCCTTTAGCTGTCAACGCAGCATCCGCCTTGTGGGACTGTTAATTACTACCTTTTATTATATTTACGCTGCTTAATTTTTTTTTCTCCACAATGTACTCTTTCCTCTAATTAGGTGTAGTGATTAGAATCTCTTTTATGTGCGGCAGGCACGAGGCTTTGAATGTTGGAGGCGCTTGGTGACTTGAAGGAAAGCTGCAGACTGATAAAAAGCCAGCTCCCTCCCTCTGTTCCCCACCAGCTGAGCACCCCAACTGGGAGCGGCAGTGAGGGGAACTGTGAAGCCAGGTTCCTCTCAGAGGTTCCAGAGGGGAAGGAATTAGCAGTCAGACAGGGAGGCCAGCCGAGTGTCAGTACAGGCACCAGGTGAGGGAGAGGGCCATGGCTTCCTGCACAGAGCCATCCCACACAGGTGGGAAGAGCGACACGTAGAGCAACACACACGCTGGATTCACCATAAAAGTATTTTCCAGGGGTGTGGGAGGCTGGCTCTTGAACCTCTGCCGGGCAGCTTGGGTCCAGGGAAGGTGACGTCCTGAAGACTTGATAGTGAGCCAGGAAGTAGCCCACACACAAACTCAGCAGAGACCCACCCTGGGCCCTTCACGGGCCTGACCTTCCGATAGATAAACATACACCCATACGTGCACGTGTGTGCATACACGCTCACAAACACTGACACGCACTCAGATGATCCCTCACATACTCACGTGCGTACACTCACACATACACACTCACACTCATGCTCGTGCACACATTCCCAAGCACTCCCACAAACGCACGTATGTTCATCAGGGATTTTGGTGACAGTCCTTGCCAAAAAGGCTTTCCGACTCTGCTTTCGTACACGCATGTGCACACACATCGATGTAAGTTCCGCTTGGATACGTTGGGGTTGCTCTGCCTTCAGAGTCGCTTCCCTTGACAAGGACCCCCAGTGTCAGTGTGACCAGAGTGGAATTTTGGGGCACAGGAAGAGAGCAGCAGGACAGGCCACAGTAGCCTCTCTGTGGTCCAGGTGGCATCCTTATTCTTCTGTCAGATAAGAAGCACTGGTATTTTCACACCAGAAACCGAAGACCCCAGCCCCGAAGTCAGCACTGCACAGTGCAGTCGGGCCCTGCGGAGAGGGCTTGTGGGTCCATGTTGTGTTCCTGGGATCACCAGAGCCCACTAGACAAAGGGCTTGCTTTTTGAGGGCTTTTCTAGAGCCATACAGGGCTTGCGAATCTTTTCAGAGCTTATAAAGTTTTTTTTTTCCTATTCTTGTGTTTATATAAATAGAAAGAAGTATTGTTCAGTTAACATCTACTGGCTGTTCTTCTTTGCCAACACGTGTTAATTGGTTCTCGTGTGTGTGTGCGTGTGTGTGCATGAATGCATACGTGCATGTGTTCGTGTGCGCATGCATTGGTGTCTGCATACATGTACATGTGCTAAGGAGGAAGGCAGAGCAGGGAAGGGTTGGGTGCATTGCCTCTGACTACCTTCCATGGCAGAGTGTGTCCCGGGAGAAGTGCCATGCCCGTGACAAGGTGTGACCACAGATTTGGGGCTGTGTAACAACCTCGGCTCGTGCACTGGACTTTCCCTGGACTGGGGGATCTTGCAACTCAGTGACCATATGGAGATCTGAGCTGCCTCCATAGACAGTGGTGCCCACGCACAGCTCATAGTTCACCACTGAATAGCATCACCTTGCAGAAGGAAGGACAAAGATTTACCCTGTGTGTTTATACACACTAATATATTAGTGTGGCAGAGCCTCCATCTGGCCCCATTTGGTGGTTTGATGGCTCTGGTGAGCTGCATGGCCCAGAAATGGGACTTCAGATGAAGTTGTTCTTAACTCTTATAAGGAAACCCATCATAACACACAGGATCGGAAATGGACCCTTCATCATCCAAATCTCTCCTTTCCTTTCCCCTCTTCCTCTACAATCCCCTGCCCCCGCACACATTTTGCAAACCAAAGCCCTTCACTTTCAGATGGGGAGGTGCTCCTGGCCCCAGCAGTAGCACAGATCTGTGAATGGCTTACCCCACCCCACCCCACCCCACCCTCCATGCTTTGGAAGGAATTTGGCCCCAAACAAGCTTCCTTGTGCTGCATCTTTCTTCCATGCCTGTGTCGTTCACCCCAGCTACTTGAAACATCCCCCCTTCTTATTTTTGCACATCCACAGTCCATTGCTTATGTCTGCTAGAAGCCTGGATGCGGGTTCTGAGCCTTCTGAGTCAGGGTAGCTCTTGGGCCTGCCCCAGCCAGCCGTCTCATGGGCTTCTCTTTGTGCCAGCCTTTGCCGAGCTGCAGACGGACATCCACGAGTTGACCAGTGACCTGGACGGAGCCGGGATTCCCTTCCTGGACTATAGAACCTACACCATGCGGGTCCTGTTCCCGGGAATTGAAGACCATCCTGTCCTCCGGGACCTCGAGGTGAGAAGCCGTGCCCGTGGCCAAGCCCTTCCTCATCACGGTGCTAGCGCAGAGAAAGACGTTGGTGACCTTTATGTCAGCCGCCTTATTCAGAGGTGAGAAGGCAGAGGTCAGGAAGGGGATGCGAGTTGCCCAAGGTCCCCCCAGTTGTCGCTGTCAGCCAGTCCCTCCGGAGGAGGTGGGGCCAAACCAGGGGATCTCAGAGCAGAGACGAGAGTAGGGCTTTGGGACTGAGGGGGGTCATAGATCCCTTGAGAACTGAATGGAGGTTGAAGACCCTCTCCGCAGAAAAACTGTGCTCATACACAGAAATAAGAAGTGTGACAGACGAATGCTGGGAGCTCATGGACCCATGGTTAAGAAACCACAACATAAGGATTTCACCACTTAGCTGGTGCTCAATAAATCTATATGGAAAAGATCAGCGATGCCCTGGGAAGGGAAGTGGGAATATGACTGATAAGAACTTAACTGTCTTTCGTCCCGGCAGCGACCTCATCTTTTGATCATTGTATCCCTTTTACCGTCTCGCATAGGACCTGGCTTATGCATATATTCATATTATGCTTCATTCCGAAAGGGATTTAAGATGACTTATAAAGATAAATGCCAGAGAAAAGCGAAAAATATAAATGAGGAAACCAGGGCAAAATCATAATCATCAGGCATAATCGCTACTAGCTGACCACTGACGAATATCTCGGCCCGGTCTTAAGCAATTTACAGGCATGCATTCATTTAGCCTCCTAAGAGCCCTCTGAAGTAGGTACACGCCTTTTGCGGGAGACAGAGCTAAGGGCACAGAGAATGCTGGGGCCACACAGCCGGGAGGGAGCGGGCCAACATGGGAGTACGGGCGGTTAGACTTCAGAGCCCACCCTCCCAACACAAGCCTGTGCGTTTGACGTCTGAGGTGCTCTGTCAGCGTCATTCCTTATGGCTTTGCATACTTATTAAGATAGATGGAAGATTGTGGCCAAAGCAGCAACAGAAAATAAGACTAGTTCTAAGATTCGCATTGGGACCCATCGCTCAGGGGTCACGCAGTTTTGCGGGATGGCTACATGGGTCTTGCAAAGGGATGTAGAGGCTGAGTACCTGTGTGGGAACTTATGTCCCTCTGGACCCCGTTATAAATCACATCATGTCCTACCATTGCCTTATTCCTTGCCTGGCCCCTTAAAATTTCCCCTTAAGTCTGTGTACTCTCTCTTTTCCTTGCCTTTAAGCACAAGGAGAGACTTTCTGATCCAAGCCTCTGGCCACGAAGGAGTTAACAGCCAGCTTAACCATTTTCCCTGAGTTGGAGCCCAGGAGATGGCGAATTGTCAGGCATGGGCTTTGAATCAAGCAGGTCATACAGCTTTGGTTTTTAATTGTGGTAAAAAATACATAATATAAAATCTCAACCATTTTTAAGTAATACAGCTCAATGCCATGAAGTATATTTACATGGCTGTGCAGCCATCACCACCATCCATCTCGAGAACTTTTGCATCTTCCTCAGCTGAAACTGTCCCCGTTAAGTGATCACACCCCATTTCCCTTCCCCCAGCTCCTGGCACCCACCATCCACCTTCTGTCTCCATGAATGTGACTACTCTGGGTACCTCATATGAGTGGAATCATACAGTATTTATCCTTTCGTGACTGGTTTATTTCACTCAGCAAAGTGTCTTCAGGGTTCACCCATCTCGTAGCATGTGACAGAATTTTTTTCCTTTTTAAGGCTGGATGATAGTCCATTGTGTGTATGTACCACATTTTGTTTATCCACTCATCCCTCAATGGGCGCTTTGGGCTGCTGTGAACAACGCTGCCGTGAACACGGGTGCACAGACAGATATCTCTTCGAGACCCTGCTTTCAGTCTTTGCTTTCAATCTTTGGGTATATAGCCAGAACGTACAAGTTTTTCATTTCCATTAAACTCACTAATTAATTGCTTGCAGACGGAAATCAACTTTTACTCTCCCACATTAGCCTGGGGTATGTGAGACGCAGCTTTCTAGGCGAGATCCAGGGATCTCGTGTGGATCATCATGGCCTCATTTTTTTCTGACCCCTCTTCACCACCAGAATAGTTTCTCCCTGTTGGCTCTGTGAGGGAAGCCACCGACTAATCTAAAGCAGTGTTCCCCGACCTTGTCAGCCGCTGGGATACCTGCCCACCGGCTGGACATGAGTGGTGGATGCGTAGGAAGAAGGAAGTGTCCTCTGGCTTCAGGCTGTCCTGGGAAGTAGGCCATCAGGCCCTTTGGGATCGTCTGGGTGAAGTCAAGTCATTTGGGGAAGCGGCTGCCCAGGCATTGGTCACACACTGATCCTTTAAAAACAGAAAGCAAACAGTAACCGCACACCCCATTTTCAACCTATCGTCGCCGTCTCAACTCTACCTTATTGGGTTACAATTAAAATTTACTATCCAGTTTTATACTCACAGACTTCAACTAAATTATCGAACCATCTGGTGAATAAAGAAAGTCCTGTTTCACAGCGGCATTTGCGTAGGAGGCAGGGTGGCAAGTTACAAAGGGGAATTGTTCTGGGTACTCTTTACCAAGATACTTCACTTCCGCCTCCCCCTTCATAAAATAGGGAGAGATCCCTACCTTCTGCACCCATGATGCTGCTCCGGTGCGTTAGTTATCTGGGAAACCCTTGGGCAAAAGGGACCCGTGAAAAGCAGTCAGCGAAGTAGGAGAGGCAGGTAATAAAACTGCTGTTTAAGTGCTCGCTGCATGTGCCAAGCACTTTACATACATTATCTTATTGAATGTCCATAAAACATTATGACACAGGCACTCGTATTCTCATTTTATAGATGAGGGAATAGAGCCCAGAGGTGACAAGCTTTCCTCCAGGAACAAGCCAGTTCGTCTCTCTGAGTCCAAACCCCAGGCTACTGTCCGAGATGCTCTTTCTCCACAGGTGGCTTTGCTAACCCTTCCTGCCCAGGGCCCCAGGCCTTGCTGCCCAGAAGGAAGTCAGGAGCCCATCCTCACGCCAGGCGTGCCATCTGGCTGGCCCTGTATCCTCTTCCTTGTCTCCACGTGGCCTCAACGCCAGACCAGCTCGTGGCTCCTCTGCCCTCGATGGCCATCCTGAGCTGCGGGGCGGCCTTGCACGGGAGGCTGCAGGGAGGACTCAGAGCTGGCTTCCAGTCACCCCCAAGGCCTGGGGTAGGACTGGACATGGCCAAGGATATGGAGAATGGAAGGAGAATCAGGAGCCAAACAAGCTTGGGTTTAGAAATCCAGCACCAGCCAGCTGGCCTTGGGACAACTATGATAGCGTCTAATGACCCTGCAAGAGTTAATGTGACCGTTAAGACGGTACACTATCCCTTGCAAAGTCATTAGAAGACTTAGTCGGAACAATGAATGCATTGTGCCAACACTGCTCATTGCACGTGGTGGGTGCCCAAGAAATGACATTAGTGACAAGTTGTGCAGGTGCCGATCTGAGGGGTTTGAAGGACAGAGGAAGTAAAACGTGTGTACATGTGTGACGGGGTGGTCACAGGTGGGAGGGAGATCAGTGGGAGACAGACAGCTGGGCGGATGGAGGCTGGGCTGATGGCGAGGTGAGGCTGCCAGTCTCCCTTGTCCTTTTCTCGTCAGCCCCCGGGGATTGGGGAATGGCGTAGGGGCAGGCAGGAGGCACGCTGAGGCTGCCCCCACCCGGGGGAACGAAGGGTTCCCCAGGATGAGCTTCAGGGGGCCCTGGCTCTGCCAAGTTCTCATCTCTCCTGAGACCTGCATGCTGACACTGCCTTCCCAGTACCAGTGCCCCAGAGTGGGAAACGGAAATGGACTTGACCTAGAACCACGTGTGTTTCCTCTCAGCTTCCTGACCTGTGGGAGCCCCTGGTGACAGGCAGCTAGGGTCCAATGAGAGCGCTTCTCACGGAGTTCAGGGGTGGACCCACGGGACTCCTGCCACCGAAAGGGCCTGCTGGCTGCCGTCCAGAGGCAGGGCCCGGGTCTGACTGCTCTCTGCTTTTAGCCAGCACCTCGCCCCGAGCCCACAACCCAGGGGGCTCACTAAATGAGTGGCAGAAGCGTTCCCGTTCCACATCTGTCAGCTTTTTGGACCTTGGGCAAACACAGATCTCTCTGTCTGTCACCGTCTTCCCCAGTTCGAAACCTCTGGAGTAACGCGGGGTAAAATTGCAGCCGTTCAGTCACTTGACTGTGTGTCAGGCTGCGCAGTGCAGGCTTTTCACACGTCGGCCGTTATCGCTCCCGGGAGCCCCAGGAGACGGCAGGACAGGCGCCAACGGCCCGGGCTCACAGCCTGGCTCCGACATTTCTCCGTCTTGGGGTCTCGGGGAAGCTCCTTATCCTCATGGGGCCCTGGGCAATAATGGCGCTCACCTCACAGGGCGCCGCGTGGAGTAAATGGGTCAGTATTTCTAAAGCTTGCAGAACCGTGCTCAGCACAAAGTGAAATCTGTATACAGGTTAGCTGCGATCCCTTCACTTCGTGGATGAAGAAACTGGTGTATTCAGGGCCTTACAGCTAGTAAATGACCGTGACAGAGTTAACCCAAGCATCACTGACTCTGCAACTGTGTTCTCTACTGCTACATATGTGACACTTCTTCCCGAAGACCTGACACATCTAGCCCACGGGGGAGACACAGCCCTCAAGATGCAGCCTCGATGGCATCTCCTTTGGATGCCCCCCGCCTCCCCCAGCACCCCACCCCACTGTCGCGTTCTCGGGCAGAGGCTGGGCTCTGTTTAAGCAAACTTGTTTTCATGGAAGTTTTCATACAGAGCAGCGCACTCGTTGTCAGACACAGGTCAGTGCCTGTTCCCTGAGTGGACACGGCCGTCCAGCCGGTACCAGACCAAGAAGCAGAACATCAGCAGCCCTCCAGAAGCCCCCATGAGCCCCTTCCTTTCCCCTCTCAACCGCCCCCCAGAAAAACCATTTTGCTACCACCCTGGATTCATTTTGTAATTTTTAATCTTTCTTTTAATGGTATTATACGGTAGACCCTCTTCCAAATGACTCTTCCCATTCGACGCCTGCAAGATTCTTCCCACTACTGTGAGCGGCAGTGGGTCCTCCATTCTCATGACTGTGTAGAGTGCCATTGGGTGCATGTCTCGCACTTCCCTGTGCCATGCCATCCTTGTGCAGCTCAGAGATGCACCCTCCCTGCCTGGCTCCATCGCCAGCTCGCGGTTGCTGAGTGGGTGGTGCACCCTTGCACCCATGCACGGATCTCAAAATGAACGGAGGATGCAGGCAGGAAGATAAACCTTCTTCTTCCTCTTCTCCATGATGGGGCAGGGTCTCAGGAGTCTCTAAGAAAATACCAGGTGGTAGAGTTAGGGCGTGCCTGCGAGACAGTTAGGCTTCATCTTCCCATTTATTTAGGTGAATGAGCTTGGGCCCCCAGGGCAGCAAGGGGACTTTTCCAGGCTTACACAGGGGGGTAGTATCAGTGCCCATGTGGAATCCAAAGTCCTGGATCTGAGGCCACTGATCTGTCAACAGGATCCACAGGGCCAGAGATGGCTCAGGCCTGGTGATCCCTCAGCCAGAGTGTAACCTACAGCAGCCCGGCCTGGAGTTCCCACAGGGGCCCAGAGTTCCCACAGGATGCTCGGTTGTGGCATGGGGGCCCCTCATCAACTCTGCATCACCCTCAGGAAAGAGCTTAGGCCATGGAGCTGGCAGAAGTGGCTTCAGATCCCAGTGTCACCATTACTAACAGTAGTGTCCTCTCTGTGCCTCACTTGACTCATCTCTAAACTAGAGACAGTGACCCACCCGTGGGCTGTGACAGAGACTGAGTAGATAGATACCTGGCACGAGATCAGGACTTGATGGCATTAGCCAGGTGGGCTCCGGCTAGTAGGTGAGTGGTGGGGCGGGATGGTCAGCAGTGCTCACAGCCCACCCCGTAGGGGCGTCACTGGGGCCCGGCTGGCCTCATCCTCACAGGTGGCAGTCAGGACGCCCCCGGGTCTCCTCTGCAGGTTCCAGGCTACCGACAGGAGCGCGTGGAGAAAGGCCTGAAGCTCTTTGCGCAGCTCATCAACAACAAGGTGTTCCTGCTGTCCTTCATCCGCACGCTCGAGTCTCAGCGCAGCTTCTCCATGCGTGACCGTGGCAACGTGGCCTCGCTCATCATGACAGTGCTGCAGAGCAAGCTGGAGTACGCTACCGACGTGCTGAAGCAGCTGCTGGCCGACCTCATCGACAAGAACCTGGAGAGCAAGAACCACCCCAAGCTGCTGCTCAGGAGGTGAGAGGCGGACCGAGGGGTGGCAGGGGGGCGGCACAGGTCAGCCGAGTTCCCCGAGGTTGGACACTGACCTCCCCAGAGGCTGGGGGCTCCCTGCGCATTCTTGGAAGACCTCGTCCATCACGTTGGTGCCTGTAACTGGCTGTGGCATCCGCTCACCTGTTACTGTTCTTCTGCCCTTCTATCTGCTCTCTGCCCTTTATACGCCCCTGATTTTGACCCTTGTTGCTGGAATTCTTCTCTTGTGGAATCTTCAGATCATTTTTCTATTCCCTGGCTTAATCCAAATCAGGACTCGAATTAGGAGAGATGCCCAGGGCCCCTCTAGAACCCCACCCGCCATCTCAAGATCGGAAGTGTTAGCCCCGTGCAACTTTCACTGCTGTCTGGGACCAGCAGTAGAAGCATCGCCTGGGAGCTTGTTGGAAATGCAGCATCTCAGGTCCTTTCCCACATCTCCTGGGGCAGAATCTGCACCTTAATGAGAAATGTAGGTTATCCAAATGCATATTAAAGTTTGAGAAGCACTGGTCCGGCCCGTATTTGATTTAAAACCCTAATTTAGTGGCAACTAGCCTGATGCACCAGAACAAGAATTTTCTGGCACCCGCTGTCTCTGCGCGGTCTAGGGTCCACCACTCGGCACAGTTGGATGTCTCATCCTCGACACTGTGGACACCTGAGTGGTCACACGTGAAGACGTAACCGGATCTCGTGGCGTCGGCCCTATAGGAAATAAAGACTCTCTGACTCTACTCACACTGCCATTTGCCCTTTCCACCTACTGGGAGGCCATTCCTTCCCTAAGCTGTCATTCCAGCGTCTTCAGCCTTCCCCTAGATGAAGATGGCAAACTCCCAGGCCAGGCTCTGGGCCTGGACCACCATGTACCATCTGCCTCCCATCCTTGGTCTCTGGGTCTCCCGCCTGGGCCAGTGCCCAGATGTGACTTTCAGAGTGTTTCCTCCAGGCTTTCCCCTGGTGCAACGGGCGTCCGCCTGCACAGCTGCAAAAAGTCGCTACATGTAGGAGCACTCCCATAGCTTTGGGAACAGCAAGGTAGATCATTTTGATTTTTGTTTTACTGCCACCACGCAGCCACCCACCGGCATGACTCTGGGGTTGCCACCGCCTGCCAGAGCTCCCACGGGCACTTGCCCGGCGTGGTCTCACTCTGCATCCGTGCGTCTCCTCTTCCTGTTTCCCACTCGCTCTCTCCCTTCTGCCCTCCTTTATCTTCTTTTCCTCTTGCCCTCGGCTGACCTGCTTCTTTCCATAGTCTTCCTTCTCTTCTCTCAGCTTCATTTTGTGCTGGCAGCTCCCCCGCTGCCTTGGGATTTTAGTTATTAGGATCTTCGGGCAGCTGCCACTTTCAGCGCTACCTAAATATGCCTGGATGGGCTGGTTTCTCTCTGGAGCTGGCCACGTGCTTCGTGCAAGTTGGAAATAGTTTGTTTGCTCTAAATGGATGCAAGCAAACGTGATCTTTGGCAGAAAACCCTGCCACAGTGTCTTCGCTTCCAACGTAAAAGAATAAATAAACTTCGGCAGCAGCATGAAAGACGCGAGTTAGACTCGAGGAAAAAACGTCCTGTCACTGCAGATAAAAAAACTGGAAGGATTCCTAGGGGAAGCTCCGAAGTATGTGGAAGGCTTTGAAATAGGACAGTTTGGGCATTTCTTGGCGTGCGCTAGGTATAAAGCTCCATGCTGCTGTCAGCGGGGGAGTCTTCGACGTAGGTGATGGGGTCAGTCGAATCTCTCTGGCCATTTTACCGTGACCCACATCTCCTGCCATCTTCCCCTCCTTCCCCTGCCACATTAGTATCTCCCCAGATTTTTCATTTTTTTTTCCTCACCCAAAGGAACTGTCAAGTTCTCTAATGCTGTACTGGTCAATGTGATAGCTACAAGCCACACGTCCCCTTTTAAATCTAAATTATTTTCAAGTAAAGGAAATGAAAAATTCAGCTCCTCAGATACACTAGCCACATTTCAAGTGCTCAGAGGCACACGTGGCTGGTGGCGGCCATACTGGACTGCACGCACAGAGAGTGTCTCCATCCTCGCGGAGATGACGATGGATGTTGGATGGCACTGCTCCCGCCCCTTCCCACCGAAACTCCCGGGAGCCTGACACCCAGCATGTCATCTCTCAGCTTTGTAGGCTTATCTTATCACTGTGGGGCGCCTAGGAATCCATGGACTCAGATGCTCTGTAGGATCTCAAGATTTGGCCTGAAAGATATATGCAGTAAGACCCATGCAGACTTCTGCCCCTGCTTTCCCAGTCCTGGGGTCTGACTAGCTGCTTCTGTCTTTGTCTTCCTCTGCTGGTTCCCCCGGTGACGGGTGACAGAACTGAGTCGGTGGCCGAGAAGATGTTGACCAATTGGTTTACCTTCCTGCTCTACAAGTTCCTCAAGGTATGATTGGCTGTGGGAGTATCTCTGGCCTTGCCTCAGTTTCTCCACTAGCCTGGGCACCAGCCTGCTTCCCCCCCAGCTTGTCGCATTTCCCTCCATGGCCCTCAAGTCCACACTCCCTAGGGCCAGGCTCTCAGAACCCTACCAAGAAACGCAGTTCCCCCTTGTCACTGAGGGAACGGGCTCCTGACCATCTCAGAAGACGGAGCCTCACAGTAAGTCCCAAGCTGAGACACAGGCTCCTGCGTGAGCCCTCCGGCTAAAAACAATTCACCCCTTATCACTCCACTTTCCTTCTGCCTCTCCCAGCCCCAGACTTACTGAGGCCGATGAAGGTCCCAGGCAGGTACAGAAGCTGCCTGTGGTGGCACAGAAGCTGACAATGTGCCCGGAAGGCAGAAGAGCTGCCCAGAGTCCAATTTGTAACTTGTTTGCTAAAGAATTCACACCTCGGAGGTCAGCAAGGTGGGGCGAGGCGGGGAGCAGGAGCAGAGAGGGGGCGAGAGGCAAGGAAGAGGAGAGAGCTGTAGGCTGGTGGTGGCACAGGGCAGATGGGAGAGGGCGCTGTGGTCGGAAAAGCCAGGAAAGATGCACATCTGAAGGAAGGAGTTGTAAACCCGAGAGTAAGCAGGTGGCAGCAGCAGGAGGAAGGACTCAAGACAGAGGAGCAGACGGCAGCCCTTTGGGGAAGCGGGGCCCCCGGGGAGGCTGGGCTCTGCTCGTCTGGGGCCCCGCCCAGCACAGCACCTGTCCCCGTCCAGGAGTGCGCCGGGGAGCCCCTGTTCTCGCTGTTCTGCGCCATCAAACAGCAGATGGAGAAGGGGCCCATCGACGCCATCACGGGCGAGGCCCGCTACTCCCTGAGTGAGGACAAGCTCATTCGCCAGCAGATCGACTACAAAACCCTGGTAAGCCAGCCTCGCAGCTCTTCCCTATGGCTCTGGGTGGTGGGCTTCGGTCCCACGCAGCCCCTGACCAGCAGAGGGGACGGTGAATATGCTGAAAAGCCACCTCTGCAGGTTTGCCCTCTGTGAGGGTCCATCTACCTGGGCCTGTCACCCCAGACATCCTCTCTACCACCGGACCAGGGCATCTGGATTTGGGGACCAGTGGTAGCTCAGACATATCTGAGCAAACCAAACTGTGGGGTCCTACGCCTCTACTGGCAACTGTATGGACGCCTACTCATCAGTTCTCCTACTCATCAGGGTGGGGAGCGAACAGTTTCATGCAGATAGCAACTGGGGGACACAAAGCAGAGGAAGCCAGAAAGAGGTCCTCATGATTCTGAAGCCCACCTCTGCCCACTGGTCGTAGTTCAAATAGGGTCATGACCCGAGCTGAAGACATGAGGCCAGGAGGGCCTAATGATGAAAGTGTTCATTCAGGGAACGTGGGGATCCCCTCAGTCAGGGCTAGCCCCCCTCTCCTGTTAGAAACTGTCACCCTAGGAGGCGGCAAAGCTCAGCATGTAGGAACAAGGGGTTTGGAAGCAAGCAGACTTGGATCGCAGCCCTGACCCTCTACGTCTGACCGGCTGGGTGGTTTGGGCTAATCTTAATCTTCATCTCCCTGAGTTTGGGTTTCTTTGTCTGAAAAAAAAATGAGAATAATATGACCTACTAAGACAGAGATGACAATAGTACGTAGCTCCCAGAGCTGTACAGGGGATGGACTTGGATAGGTGTGCAAGGCACTGAGTCCAATGTAAGCGCTCACTGCTGCTGGCCCCCAGGGGCGCATGTGCCTGTCCGCTGTCTCTCCAGGCCACAGAGCTCACTCTCAGGCATTTTGGGGAGAGTCGCGATCTCCCAGCAGGCATTCTCTAGGAAAAGGGCGAGGAAGTGGATGGATGGGGTGAGAAAATAAAAGACGAGTGCTGGGGGCGATGCTTTAATGGCACCCAAGAAGGGAGGACAGAGAATAGATGAGATTTAAAATGCACTATGGGAAGATGAGGCACACGGTCCGCCAGGCTGCCGCACGCAGGGCCAAGCTGGGGCAGTGAGCCAGCGAGAAGCCCAGCCCCCGACGCCCGCTGGGGAGACCACTTCTGCCCCTCCGAACAAAGTCGTCCCTTCTCTCTGGGAAGGTGACCGTGATGCACCTAGGCCACTCCCTCGTCAGAGGCCCCGGGAAGCCCAACAGTCATCTTAGCAGAGTTGCCAAAATTTGTTCAATTGATGAGGGTTCCGTTGATGAGGCTTCGAAGGAATAGTGTGGGCCCGGGGCCCCTGTTTCCTGGCAGGCATGGTCTGCTCCACAGGAGAGAATTAGAGGCTCTGATTAAAACGGGAAAGGGAAAAAAATTCCTTCCTAAAATAGAGACCGGAATAGATATCTTAATGAGCTAGAACGCCTGTTGAAAACGTCTCCTGCCTGATCTCTCCCCTCCACTTCCTTTCTTTCCGATCTCGTCAGGGGCTCCCCAAAATATTGCATCCAACACAATGAGTGGTAACAGTGCTCTGTCCCCAGATGGCAAGATCCTTTATTCCAGAGACCAAACTATAGTTAGCACGATGAGCTCAACTCAGCACGTGAGGACATCGGAGGGGGTCTGGGAAGCACATCCATTAGGAGGAAGCATCAGGGAGAGAAGCATCGTGAGGAACGGGGAAGGAGATTGCAATCTTTTTTCCCAGAGAAGAAATGGTGACAGGGAGATTGAACAGCCACCTTAGGGCCTATGAAGGGAAACTCCCACACGCGGAAGGGGGAGTAGCCCCAATGCT